GTTTACAAACCTTTGTTTGATTCTTCTGTTGCTACTTGCCGGCTTGCTTCAGTTCCGAAATTTCATTTTAAATTATCGGGAAAAAGCTAAAAAGAAGTCCCGGAAAAGGTCAAACATAGAATAATTTGGCAGATGGCGTGACAGCTTTAGCTCAGTTGTATGCTCTATACTCTCATAGAGCACGCCCTTTCAACCAATGACAGCGCGCGTTATATCCGAACTTTATTATAAAATGTCTTAGAGTGAAACAAACTCCTTTGTTTACTGAAGGCAGATGGATGTATTCTTCTGCTCGATTCCTTCGTGGGTTTTCGCACGTTCGTTACTACCGGTTTTAAAAGAAAATTTGCATGTAGTCTATGTTCTTCTACTTATTCTACAGTACACAAGCCGGATCGAAGTAGCTTCAGGCAAACAGTACTCCACATCAATGATCGAGTGTAGTCTTAAGTGCTAGCAAATTTATTTCGATTATTTATTATAACATAATAAATTATAACATTATATGCGTTTAACTACAACTAGTTGTATTTCCAAGCCTTGATTGGTAACAGATCGAGAAGACTTTTCCCCGTCAGTTCATTTCGTCGACATATTAGCGCTGAAATGTGTCCCTGAAATTTTACTTCCGTAATCTTGCCATCATGATGAGCGTTCGTCGATAAAGTAATTTCACACATAGACAAGGATCTCGCTCTTATACGGCGTTGTGACTTTCGACGTTCATAAGCATTGCTAGATAACTTTTTATTCGCTCTAACAAGTTTTGTGGGTTTTTGAGTGAATTTCATTGACTGTCACTAGATGCACATGCTTCTGCTTCCACCGACTGATGGCTCTAAATTGCATTTCTTGAGTCTTAACATTCTCTCTATTTCGTCGCAGCGGAAGTTTTGTCGTCATCATTTTGCTATGCGACTTGTGCCCCTTGTTCCCTTCGTTCGGTGACTTGGTCTATTTTTCTCTCTTCTCATCTACTTGATGCTGTACTTTCAATTTTCTCCGTGACAGTAAGTGTGACTAGTTAATTGTTGTGCGTCACCTAGGTTGTGACTGTTTCTTTTTAAGATGGAGCTGAATTTCTTCTCTCCATCTTTACACCTGTTGATACTGATACACCACACCATGAATACCTATGTCGATGTGTCTTGACCGCCAAAGCCTTTGACTGTCTCAGACGTGTGGCTCTTTGGCTACCCATACGCTCTCCAACATCTAAACACGCAATAAAATCAAATTTCCGCCTCGCACGAAGCTCCTTGCGCACTACTGGCTCAGCAGTGTGAGGTATTCCGAATCTTAAAATTCTTATTGCAGCTTTCCTGCATTGGCGGTTTCTATAGAAATAGATCGCTGGATTCACGAGAGAGTTTAACTGAAGGAAAGTTTCCGCCACTCGAAGCACCGAACTCGAACTCCAAAAAGGCAGAAATCTCGCTAGAATATAGAACACAACCACTACACCAGTGGAAATCAAAACGGCCATTGTCAGTAGAAACACAGTAAAAGCAATTCTTCTTCCGTTACAGGCTTTGATTAGAGAATTCACTCGTCTGATTGTGATTTTCCTCCGTTTCCGTGTTTCGATACAGACCATACTATAGAAATATACCATCAATGTCATCCCAAGAAACCAGACAAGAGAGGAGATAACGTCAACAGCTAAGTGAAAGTCAAAAAGAGAACTAGTGGCTACCGGTATAGCTATAATTATAAGATATAATAAAGTTGTCATAACGGGTGCTATCCAAGCGATAATTGCATATCTTTTTACGCGTCCTTTTGCAAGTAGAACTTGGGACTTTGTACATTTTACAATCGCTACATACCTCTCCCATGCTATTAATATCAAGTGGAAAAATGAGACACCTGAAGCAGAGTACATTAAAAAGACGGAGATCATTCTTATCTTGCAAATGATATTTTCTGGTGCGTTTCCTTGGAGAAACAGTGCATCCAGAGAGATAGCAAGGGGAATAGAGAGAGAGCCCACGGAAAGATCAGCCATGGCCAGACTTGCGATCAGAATATTGGAACCTTTCTGTAATTCTTTCACTTTCTTTACTGCAACGATCACTAGCATGTTCAAAAATATGATCAGCGGGCAAACAGTGGCCGTGACAGCGATTCCAATCTGACGGTAAATAACGTGCTTTGAGTCCCAGGTGAACTGTGGCGTGGCTGGGCAAGAGAACCCTGAACAGGAAAAATTACCATACGAATGTACCAAGTAAGTTGCATTCATGTTGATGAATATCGAATGCTTGTGGTTGTGTACCATTAAGAGTGCCTTGGAGGATCCGTGGATGGTAGTGATACAGTTTCCTCTTGAAGAAAATTTAATTCCAAGACAAAAACCACAGCTTTTAAGGTGAATAATTCTCAGGAAAATACTGGAAATGTTTTTAGATGCAAAAGATCGTGGTCTCATGCATGACAAAATCTAGATCTATCCTCGCTGTAAGAAAATGTGTCGTGCTACTGGCGAAATATCGGAGAGTTTACCTCGAGATAAACTTCAGTAATCGAAGATGAACATGTGACATATGTATTGCCTTCTCGATTGTTCTGCGAACGCTCTGAGACGGTTCAATTACGGAACTTCCCTAAGGTAAATAGTTTTGACAAAAATTGGCAAAAATAAAAACCCAAAAATCTCCAATAATTGACCTTCCGTAGAGGAATAGATGCAGAATCAGTCATAAAACGTGAGAAGTAAACTGCATGTTTCTAAACAGCACGTTTACATCCTAACTGGCGCAGCTCGCGAAGAGAGCATTTAAAAAAAAAATTATCTTTTAGCTCAATGAAACTAAATACTTATCTATTATCCCAGTGTAAATTGGAATATTAGAATCTGTATCGCAAAAAGGTACTGGTGGGAGTAGAAGTAGAAGTAGTAGTTTCTCGAAAACAGAATGCACAAAACGTGACGAGCGAACATCTGCTATTTAGACATTTCTCACAACAACCTTTGAAATTACTGTTTGAAAAATATTCCCACCTCTTCAAGGTCCCTCACTTAAGCCATTTTGTTTTGGTTTTTTTTTGGTTTTAAAACCGAATACTCTTAATTGAAACACTCCTATATATATCCATTGACCCGCAGGCTGCGAGAATTTCTCTTCACGTTTTTGGCTCTCGGACCAAAACCTTGTGGGGCAGAAAATTGAAAAATAGAAAGAGGAAAAGGCAGCTGTGAACTCGTTTTATCTTTTTGCTTCCGGCTGTCTTTTTTTATCTTAATGAGTTCAAATCCTCTAAATTCAAAATCAGTTTCTAATCACTTGCTATTTTCTCCATCTGAATTGAGTCAAAACATTCCCTCGTCTTCGACATAATCATTAAAAGGAATTTGCTTCTCTACAGAAGAAAATAAGGGAAATATTCGACTCGTAAGTCAATGAAATCCTCCTAAACTCTCTCGCAAAAATTTAATTGTTAAACTGTGCTGCTCAGAGTAGCTGCTAATGAGTTGAACAAAAAACAAAGAGAAGAAAAAAGCAGACCTTCGCTGCCATTGTCTGTCTTCTTATTTGTCTATCTTCTACTCAAGAAGTAAATGAAACAATTTGAAAACTACTACAGAGCAATTAGGGACCTCAGGAAACGGCGACGGAAACAAGGACGTGGCAAAAACAAAAAGCTGGAAGGGTTGAACAATAGCTCGGCACGTGAATTGCGAAACTTTGTATTTTTCCAAGCCGTCCCCTGAAAAACAAACTCCCTTTCTTTTCGTAACGGCCTCCGGCCAAAAGTGATTTTGTAGAGAGACGCTTCAAACGGCCCATGAGGATGAAAAAATAGCACAAATGCGTAGATTAACCTTTCATTCAACTTTACTGAGATATTCAGACCGAGATGTAGTGATGATATGCAATTTTCAGAGCTTTCTTCTCGATCCTCATTTACTTTGTTCGTCCTATGTCAACAATGATCAACCACGAACACAGAGTGTGGGCTGCCTGTGCTTGTGCGATGTTGCGCACGTTTGGCTGGCCCCTTCACAACATCTCACAAGACTAAATTAGTAATGAGAATTTGGTGCTAGATCAAGATAACAACTTCTACTTGATAAGTTTGAATATTCTGATTACCTATTTGCTGGATAATGTAAGGATATTATAGGGAGAAGTTTCATGTTGATCACTTCTAGGAGTTCAAAGGTTAGGGTAATGTTACTCATTGTTGTAATACCTGATCAGAACTTCTTAGCAGCAAGTAACAATTCAAACCAATTTGTTTTGTTGCAACTGCAGTAGTCCTACAATGATTGGAAGAGAGACCACCACATGTTATAACTGTGTCGCACTTCTCATCTAAAGCATCAGCCAAGACAAACTCCAATTTACGAACCTATAACATAACAAAGCAATTAGTTAAGTTACTTACGATCAATTCCTCCTTAATTTTAATAATCAACCACCTCTTTAGCAAGACATACACCTACAAAAGCCAATATAATGTAGTTTGGTCACTTGAGAAAACTGTCAAAGGGAATATGAGAAAGTTTATAAAAATATACAAAATTGATGGAAAGAAAAGCAAAAATAAGGAAAACTTGACACTTTTCATTGTTTTCTGTTCATTTGATTTTGGGTATCCGGTGCAGTGTACATTTACCAATTTTTTTTTTAGCTCTGCTGTTAAACTTAAGTGTTTTAAAAACACCCTGACTTGCCGAGATTTGTGGCTGTCTTAAACTCAAGTGAGGCAGCTTGATTCTGACTGCCTGAAAGTATGATATTGGGGTTTCATTTTCAGGTCTCGACACTTGTAAATACCCAAATATTGACCACTACATGTGCATATGTTGGTAACCATTTTTAAAGTTCAAGCAATATTGTAAAACGGAGATGCCCTAAAGGGGGATGACCATTGATAACATCTTAAGAAAAGTTTTCACCTCACTTCATCCTAAAAAGTACAAGTAAGTTAAGTGTTACAGTTTGTGACATGACTGCCAAAAACGGCAGCAGGTCTGACAATGATCATATTTACTGTAGTAACTGATTATGGTTCACAGTCAACCATGGTCACACCAAAAACATTCACTACCAAAACTGTCTGACCATATAATGTAAAGGCTGATATATTCAAGAAAAGTAAAATTTATTTAAGTAATTTGGCAACTCAGGGAGGGTTTCAGGGTGGAAAACCATGGACAGTACGCCAATGGCACTGTAAAAACTCAATGTGTCTGAAAGAGATAAAATTCTGAGTGAATTCTAATTAGGACACATAATTTTCATTGATTTGATATCGCATTAGGAATCTTCAATTCGTCAAAAAGAAAACTTTTAGAATCAGTTTTTCTTAACTTAACGGAGGAACGTGTCGGAACGTGATGTAACAACTTCAACAGTGTTACACTTTATGAAATTCTACACAGATATCCCAGAGTTGTTCTTTTAATTTTCGCACTCTTATATCTATGCACTCATGAGCTTGCAGAAATTTACAGCTCGTTTTACCTTGAAGAACGTAAAATTGAAACATATACGCAGATTGTAGGATTAAAAGGAGACGTTTAAGTTCCTTTTTTGACATCTCTTCACGTCGCGTTGCATCACGCATAATTAGTGCAAGAAACTGGTAACACCCAGGAGCATGTTATGAAGTAGACTTTAACTGTCAGTAACTTTGATTTATACACGAAAATCAGATGAAGTCTGTAAAGCTTTGCTACATTACACATTACATTAGTGGATCATATTATACACACCAGTGGGGTGGTTCATGAACGATTCCCTGCGATTCTAATAGCCACAACAACTTACTTAAACATTTCGTATGAAAACTCAAAACAGCAAAATAGATACCTCTGGGTACGAAAG